CGAGTCCAACCATACCATAATTATCCAATTCTGACCTCAAATCGACCTTCAAATCTTTAATTTATGATTTAGGAAAGTTTTTGCAAAATCCTCCAATTTCTCCAACTTAAATCAATAATTAAATAATAATAACAATGATAGAACCATGGATATTAAATGAATCCGAGTAAAAAATACTTACCCCGATCCAATCCTTAAAAATCCACACCAAAATCGCCCAAAACCGAGCTCTCTAATTCAAAATATGAAAAATAAAATAAAACCCTCGATTCCATCCTTTTCTGCCAAGTGATTTCCGCACCTGCGGACAAATGGTTGCTTCTGCGACTCCGCATCTTCGAAAAACTATCGCAGATGCGGCTTCACTAAGGCTCAGCAAATTTCCGCTTCTGTAGACATAGAGCGCATATGCGCTTCCGCTTCTACGGACACAAGGGCGCATTTGCGCGTCCGCTTCTGCACAATAACACCGCACCTGCTGTCCCTCAATACTCAACCAAACTCCGCTTCCGCGAAAGAAATCCACATCTGCGGTCGCGCACCTGCGCAAGGTCTTCGGCACTTGTGGACCCAGCTTCCCAAGTCCATCCTTGCTTCTACAGCCCAAATTGAGCAGGTGCGGATGCACCAGACTTCAATAGGCCTCAAAATCCTCCTAGTCCAAAAATGAATCTGTACTCAATCCGAATCACACCCGAGCCTCCCGGGACCCCATCCGAACATACCATCAAGTTTCAAAACACAACACGAACCTACTGGAGGCCTTAAATAACATCAAACAATATCAAATTTACGAATCGCACCACAATTCAAGCATAACCAATGAACATTCAACTACTAAAACTAACACCGAATCATATCAAACCAACTCCGAATGAGCTCAAATTTTTCATGCAAGTCCCAAATGACACAATAGACCTGTACCAACTCCAGAAATCACAATCCGAGCTCGATATGAATAACGTCAACCCTTAGTCAAACCTACCAACCTTCCAAACCTTCAACTTTCCAACTTTTGCCAAAAAGTACCAAATCGACCTACGGACCTCCAAATCATCATTCGGACCTCCAAATCAACATCCGGATATACGCTTAAGTCCAAAATTATCATACAAAGCTATCGGAACCATCAAAACTCCATTCCGGAGTAGTCTATTCAAAAGTCAAACTTCAGTCAAATCTTCAAACTTAAGCTTTCAACCTTGGGATGTGTCTCAATTCACACCAAAACCTCCCCGAAATCAATTCAACCACCCCGGCAAGTTACATAACCATAAATAAACATAGAAGAAATGATAAAAAGCAGAACATGCTACAATACGCAAAATGACCGGTCGGGTCATTACAAGTTTGCACTATGAAGTGAAGTTTTTCCGATTGCCTTTGCAAGTCAGGCCAAACTTCAGGAGAAAATACTTGAAGTTTTGCTTTGAAAAGGCCACACTTCAGGTTAAAATTTTTGAAGTTCAAACTTCAGACTTGTTGTATTAAATAAGCTTCCAATAGTTCGTCCTTGTTGAGAATTGACGCGAGAGCTTTGCTAATTTGTTTAAAGTTTGCACTATGAACTGAAGTTGCCTTGCACTATGAACTAGAGTTTGCCTGATTGCCTTTGCAAGTCAGGCCAAAATTCATGCAAAATTATCTGTAGTTTTTCTTTGAATAAGGCCACACTTCAGGCAAAAAATTTTGAAGTTCAAACTTCAGACATAAAATTTTGCTACTTCGGGCCTGTATCTGAAGTTATCCGAAAAGTGAGTAGACTTGCAGTTTTTTATGCAAAGTGAGTATAAGTTCAATGGTGATCCCAAAACTGGGTATAGATGCATATGCGCCACTTTAAACTCAGATATCTAGTGGATAGAAGTCATAACTCGAGCGCGGGTAGTATTACCTTTTATCTACTCCCTCTATTCTATTTATTTTGAAAAGATCGACATCCTTTTACACTTGAATATCATAGTTCTTCGATATTTAAAGTTTGAAATTCTTGTTTGGTGGTGGAAAGTAGAAGATTAATGATCTATTATTGTAAAAATCATTTGTATGTTGATAACTTATGCTTAAAGTTTTAGTTCAAATATCAATTTAGTAATTTATTGTAAAAAGCTCAAAACTCTATTGTTGGACCTTAGAAAGTGTTGAAGAAGACAAAGTAGGTATTTTTTGATTTGGTATTATTTGACTTAATTGGTGATTGAGGATTGTTTGTGTTATTATTTGGAAGCTTTGTTTCAAATTTGAGATCATCAGATTTGGGGTGGTTTGATCGAAATTGAAGTTACAACTTAGAAGAACACTTTGTTAAAATAATACAATTTTTTTTCTTGCCAATTAGGTAGACTTTGATGAACAACTTAGCAGATCGGTAAAATAAGTATAGCTTAAACTCTACCAATCTGGTAGAGAATCCTTGAAGAGCAAATTCATGCCAACCGGGTAGACTTTGATGAACAACTTAACAGATAGGTAGAATAAATCTAGCATAAACTCTACCGATCCAATAGAAAAACGCTAAGGAGCAATAACTGTATGCAAGGCCAGTTTTTTTTAAATACTGCTAAATTTAGAGACATTCGGCTAAGACCAGCCTATTATGGGGCCATTTTAATCAATCATTTGTCATAAACAATCTTCCTTCACTGACGGCAATTCCCAAACATTGAAATGAAATTGATCTGAATTGCAATACTGATTTATGAATTCGAGTGCTCCGAACCTTAAACCCTGTAATAGAATATCCATATAATCTCAATCTATCTCAAAATTCATCCGTTTCAGAGATACTTCAGCCCATGCAATGGAGGTCTGCGATATACTATCTCTAAAGGAATATTATAGGTGATGTGAGTTGTACCTGACATACTCGAGCAACAAGATTCAGAAGCCCAAAAGCCAGTTACACATTCACTTTGGATGAGAGAAGAGATATTTTTCATTAGGTTAAGAATTTGACTATGCCGGATGGATATGCGTCAAAATTATATAGGTGTGTTGACATGAAATGGAAGATGATGTCTATGAAAAGCCATGATTGTCACAATTTTATGGAATCTTTGATGCTTATTGCGTTCAGTGCCTTGCCTGATAGAATATGCAAACCCATTACTGAGATACGCTTATTTTTCGAGTTGTGTTCTAGTATATTAAGGGTGGATAACCTAACTTACATGATGAGTAACGTTTTCTTAACTTTAAACAAGTTGGCAAAGATTTTCCCTCCTAGTTTGTTTTGATGCAATAGAACATCTTCCAATTCACCTAGCGTAAAAGGCACGACTTGTAGGGCCAGTTCAATGTAGATAGATATATCCCTTTTAGAGTTAATTAATTTTAATCATTTGACCTTTATATGTTTTAATTAAATATTATTTCATCTAAAAGTTATACTATGCAAGACTATTGGCAAATATAAGAAGACCTTGAAAAATAGATTGTGAATTGAGGGATCCACATGTGAGGTATATCTAGCTAAAAGAACTTATTTCTATTCATATTAATTTCAACATAATATGTCATGTTTGAGAAATAGACCCACTCGGCATGACGATAAAGGAGTACCAATCCTTTGACACCAATCTTTTTCCATATTCAATCAACTAGGTAAAGCAGGTTCAAAACATAGTCCAAAGATAATTTTAACTGAGATGGGGCTAAAGTCATCTACAACATATGTAATATTAAGTTTCCCCGAGGTCCTACCTTATTATAGGTAAGTACATACTTATATTATCGGGTTCCATACAAGATCTTCCATTGATTTAACTAATGAAACTTGCTATTTTATCAAACAGTTACTTTGTGGGTACATATGGCCACGATATTGTTTATCCTAGGCTTTTAGAGTGGTTTAGAGAATTTGTAAGTGTTACTTAATATTTAACATGATTTTTATTATTTAAAAATCAATTACATATATTTTTAAAATTCTAAATTTTCTCTAATTCTATACAAGTTCATAATCCAGTTAATGGCGTAATTGACATATTTTTGCATGATAAAACTCTGGGACTTGATCCTGGAGTTAGAAAGATGTCTAAGTATTATGTCAATGGGTACAAGTTTCATATAAAAGAATGGTATAAAGGCAGAAAAACCAATAATAATGGGTTGTGGGTGGAAGGTAAGGGCGATGTTGATGATTATTATGTTGTGCTCAAGAGATTTTAGAATTCGAGTACAATGTTATTGACCAAAGAAAAAGTTGGTAATCTTTCGGTGAAAGTGGTATGATCTAACACTTAATAGAAATACGAAGGTACACCCGCAGTACAAAATAGTTGAAATTAAGTAGACAAGAGAGTATCCACTCTATGATCCATTTATCATTACACAAAATGTGAAACAAGTGTATTGCGCTCCTTATCCGTTGTGCAAGAATAAGTCCACATGACTGTAGTTATAAAAATAAAGCATGTGAGTAGACTAGAAGTCGAGGAATCATTGGATGTAACGATCAGAAAGATATTAGTAGGTGAATTGCTGTATAACGAAGACATCTATGAAGAATTTTCTTTTTCTGTCCTTAGATCACTACAAGAAATCAGACCTTTTCTGGCGACTATTGTCGCTACAAGAGCACAAAATGTCGCCGCTAGATATTTTTAGTAGCGATCTTAAGGCTGCCGCAAGTAACTGCGTTACTGAATGTTTATTGTGACGACCCCTCCGGGTCGCCACTAATAAAATACATTTGTGGCGACTATACTCGTCGCAAAAAACATACATGTTACGTTGCAAAAGGGTTCCTTACATCTTCAGTGGCAACTCTTATCGCCACAATATCCTAAGGTTTAGTGGCAACCCTGGTCGCCACAATAACTAATAGTTATTTATGACAGTTTTGTCGCCACTAAAACCCATTTTTTCAATAATTATATTTTCCAAAATCCTATCATTTTCTGTGGCGGCCTAATTTACAAAATTAATATATAGGTATGTTTCTACCATTGTACAATCAATATTAAAAGCATCCAATAGTATTCGACAAATACCAAAAGTATTTCTCAAACTGAATATTATATATACTTCCATTACCAAAATATCAATTAATTTGTATTACACAATACTTCATCGTTCATTGTCATTGTATTCATATACATATGATAAGAAAAATAATAACTATGATTTAGGGCCTTCAAACTCCTCCATGGTCGACAACAATTGTGATTGATTAAGAGCCTCACCCCTGTTATTAAGAAAAACAAACAAGAGATCACTTTGACAATTCTCAATGTTAATAGTAAAAAAGGATGGCCAATAGATTGGAGTAAAAGATTGCAAAACGCATTTAAAAAAGCAAAGGAAAAGTTTGACCAAGGAAAGTTGTACAAAATAGTTTTGCCAAGCGAACTAAGCTCAGAAATTTGAAACTATCAAACTGCCCAAGTGGGTCAAAGTGGAGCAGCTAGAAAACCAAACTCAAATACCACAAGCATGAGAATTTAAAGAAAACTCAATATAGTTTCCTAGGTTGAAGCTTCAAGTGTCAATAAACTTATTTAATTATGCATAAAGTTTATAAATTACTAAATATGATCATAAAAAAAAAGTGCAAAACAGAATCGACAATACAAATAGACATAATGAAAATTATAACTGGTTCGAAACAGAGCCAAGAGTTTCCATCAAAATGGGGGAAATGAAAGAGCATTAAACAAATAACTGATGGGGACTCCTATTATCTGGAGATTGATTTTAGATTGAACAATAAACTTTATTCTGGAAAATTCTTAGCTCAATTCAGCAAAACTCCAAATAATCTATTAAAGGCCACACACAAATGAATCAACTGGTACTACAATTATCAGTTGGCGTAACATTCACCTCTTTTTAGCTTTTTGTCAAAGTAAATAAACACAGCCGATCCCAACTCTATTAAGATCAATAAGCTAATCAACAAAAAATTACTGTGATGATTAAGGTACCAAAAAGTTGCTAAAAAAATGAGAACTTGAAGACCGAGAAAGAGATAGATGAGAGACTACCCCGATTTAATTAGGAATATAGCATAAAATCTAAAGACCAAGAAAGAGATAGCAGAGAAGGGAAATGGAAAAAAAGTTGAGCCTCTTATCGATACTTTTGTTCAAAAAGAGAATGTATGAGATTAGTAATAACAGTAAGAATGAAAATAAAAAAGAAAACACATAAATGGTAATGCTAGTAATACTAACATAATCAGGATGAGGGACGAACACCTCCAAGAGCACTATAATAATTCCCTGAAACTACATTGGAACTTTCGGTCAAGTATGTTATCAACATGGTACCGTGTACAAGTAAAGTAAGAGATAGTCAGTATTGTCTCTCTAATTAGTTCCATCCAATTGTTCAAATAACACACTATTAGAAAACAAATCTAATAGCTAGTAGAATTTAAAAGATTTACCTGACAACCAAGATTACCACGTCGTAATATTCGCTCTCCATCAGTAACAATAATGACTTGGATAAAAAGTTCCAGCACATGGAATAATCGATAAGAAACTTGTAAGATAACTTTTTATTTCTTTCCCGAGCATTGGAATAATACGTTATCAGCAGAATTTTAGCAGCATAGACATAAAATCACCCATTGGTCTGGTGACAAAGTAGACTCATCATGAAATAACATAGAATAGTCAAGTAATATTTTAATGGAATTGTATTCCCTTAGACTTACTGTAAAAGGATTTTAAATGTACAATTGACAAAAATGGGAGCTTAAATCATTTGTTCTAGAGGGCACAAAAAGGAAAAAACATGATAAAATAAAAAGGAGAACGAGAAAATTAAACATATATGACCATATAGCCATGCTACAAGGTAATTCCATTAACGTGATGGACAATATAACCATGCTATCTCTAACCTCATACCAACTCCATTTAAGTTCATATAATGAACATGATGTGAAATTTTCACTGCTATAGTGAGAGGTAAGACTACCTGAAGAACCACATAGCCATGTATCCTTACGAGGAAACTTAATATTGAAAGAAATTGTGCATTAATTTCTTCTCCTGATATTTGACAGAAAATATTACCAGTCTTATTATGAGTGGAAATGGAAGAACGAACTCAAGGTTATAAGTCAAGAATTATGAAATGACCTGAAGTTCTTGGCTTGAAACAGAGAAGGCAAGTTCTTGACCTGAAGAATTATGAGGTAGAAGGTCGCGTGATAGCATCTCTCTCCACCACAGGGAAGGCAAGTCCTTTGTTGTAGTGTGAATCCCATAAAAAGTTATATCAACACAACTCTATAAAGATGACTGTCAAGAAGGACTAATAGTTGACAACTTCACATAAACTAAATCAATTATTTTCATAACCAAACACCCATTAATTAATAAATCCAGCTGCATAAATCAATGATAACTAAATGGTTCTCCTGGAGCAGGAAACTAACTGAATAGAACTTAATCTAAAGAAAAAAGAGGATAATAACACTATTTTCAACTACACATTACATCCCACTATTTTAGTTTATAGATAACTAAATATTGCACAATTAAATATGAAGCACTATCATATTCTTTTGGGGTATAGCAGGAAAAGTTAACACAGTCCATAGCAACGTTAAGCGAAAGCTAGACAATCAAAGAATTAGTCAACAAATAGTTTGGATTACCTGGCAACAGAAAAGGTTCATGGGGTGATAGGCTAATCTTCAGTAGCTCTATCTTCTAAAAACATAACCTCAATACCTCCAACACCACATTTATTCTTCATGTCAAGAACAAAATTACCATTTGATATTTCCTTCAATGTTCTCTCAATCACTACCTGAACTTTTATTCCTCCTCTTTCCGCCAATACAAATACTCTTAGTTCCTTTCTCTACTAACAGAACAAACTGAAACAACAATAACCCTAAAAAAAAAAAAAAAAAAAAAACCCAAAAACTACGAATGTTCGTGCTTCTGCTACCAAGAAAAGAACAACCCAACTTTTATGATTAATACAGAATTACTACTCGATTTTGCTAGAGAAAGAGATAGGGAGAGATTGGAGAGTGTTATCAAGACAGCGGATCAAAAAATAGTTTACTAATTTTTTTCGGAGGCCGAGAAAAGTTGAGCATCAGACTGAAAACCCAAAATCCCCGCTGACTCCTCACCATGGATTGTTATTGTATGAATTTCTTTTCGTTCCTATAGTTTTTCAACTGGGTCAGAGAAATTATAGGTGAAGTCTGTGAAAATCCTATGTGAAATCGTTGAAATTATCATTCTCGCTAACTGTATATACCACCGAAAAGGAATTTGAGTTTAAGATTAGAGCACATACCTGATGGAGTCACATTTTTTGATTAGGGCTTTTGCTTTGCTATCAGATGGGTCACAATTTGTGATTTGAGCAGTTAGATTCGAGAGATTTGATAAGAGAGGAAATTGAGTGGGAAAAGTTTTAGAGAGCAACGAGCAAGGAGAAGAAGACCTACACCAATCTGTGATTTTTTTTCATTTAATAATAGGAGTGGATTTTTTTATATACTTTTAATTAGTGTTAGCGGCCACTGATTCGCCACATAAAAACCTTCAGAGGCAACCGTATAAAAGTCGCTACAAAACTTTGAAGCCAGAATTTTGGTCTTAGCGGGAATAAGAAATTTAGTATTTAGCTGAACGTATTAGAAGCGACCTAAGAAAACTCGCCACTAAATGTTTACCTTCTGTAGCGACCATTATAGTCGCCACAATAAGTCTAGCTTTTGTTGCAACAAATCAAGTCGCCACTAAATATTGGCGCAATAAGTCTGGTTTCTTTTAGTGGATCAAAGGGATAGTATATATGTTTCCCCTTCAACTTGTGTCATCTTCTCAACTACATACTTTAACATTACAAAGGTCTATTTACCCCCTAAACTAATTCAAAGTAGTATTAGTATCACCCTAAAAGACTAATACTAGATCTAACGTCGGGTTGTGCATCTCACACACAATACTTATTTTTCCACGTCATTTTTCTTTCTATTTTTATAGTAAAACATATTTGTTTTTGCTTTGTTTGTTACTTTTTAAAACTTCTGCCATTTTCAGTTTAATTAAATGGAAAAAAGAAATCTTGCACGAAGGGAGCTCGAATGAGATACCGTCCATGACCAAGACTTACGCAGAGTCGCAGATCGAAAGCTTCGATGTTTAGCCTTGAATGTCCTCCATTTCATGACCCAATATTAGTTTTATCTTTTCAAATGAGAAGGTTTTTTATGAGAAAGATCGGAGAAGTAATGATTATGGAATGAAATCCAAGTGATGACCTATCACGACCCCAATTTCTCACCTTAGAATATCGTAAAAGACCGGGTAAACCTAACATACATTGAGAAATAGCAGAAATAATAACTTAAACATCAAATTAAACCATTAAACTATCATAATAAAACTCAGTAGTACAACTGTCAATAACTCCCCAAAACCTGGTGGAACCGATTCATAAGCTCTACAAGAGTGCACTAATAGCCTCGATATACAATACTATTTTGGAACAGGGAATAAACATTAACACAACTAAAAGTAGAAGGTAACTTCGAGGCCTGCGAACGTCGAGCTGGTATACATTGAAGTCTCCGGAGATAACTGATCAATCACCGGTGTCCGACATGGGCAGATATACCCGGATCTGCATAAAAATGTGCAGAAGTGTAGCACGAGTACATCACAACGGTACCCAGTAAGTATCAAGCCTAACCTCGGTAGAGTAGTGATGAGACCAGGCCAAGACACCTACTATGACATGATAAACCAAACAGAGTATACTAGAGACCAAATACAGAAAATGAGGGAATGAATGTTAACAAACCAGTACAATAATGTAGACTAATAATAGAATTTAAGGCAAGAAAGGCAACGAAAAGTGAACACATGATGAGAACAACAAGTAAGAAAATACGGACAATTACAAGTAAGACAATGAAGAAAGAAATAAGAACTATTCAACCAACAAGACTTTGTAATATGAAATGTACAACAAGAATCACAACCGAGGTGCCACGCCTCACATTCACATTTCACAATCGCAAACACAATCTTTCCTTATATCACATCGTTAGCCTTACATGAAGATACTTTTGAAAATATTTTTTCCGAAATAGCTACACGCGCTTTAGCCCCCTTATATTATTGTGTGGATTCAAGTAATTCCGTTAGTAGCAACACACACATAAGTCCCACCTTATGTCGCCGCATGCACATCAATATCACAACATAATAATAACTCGCACCACAAGTGCCCATGTGCCACAACTTGTCAAAATCAACAATACCAAAGTTACCACAATATATATATCCCATGGCTCCACCACAATGTGAACAAGAATCTTAATAATAGCAAAATTAATTGAGAAATACTCAACAAGGAAAGATATCTCAACAATCAACAATTTTAACATCAATGTGATAACAACTTTCACAACTTCAACACCAATAACTCGACAAGAAGATATTCCCACAAAATAACAACTTCAAATAAGAGTATTTCAACAGTAAGAGAGATCACAAGACAAAAAGAGAGGTATTAAGACAATAAGAGAGGTAACAACTTCCAACTAAAGCATGTAAGAGAAAACATAATAATAAAAGATAGAACAAGTGCAAACAATGTCAAATAGAGCATGTAATAGTAAATTTAACAATGAAAGATATAACATATTATGAAAAGTTCAATTAAATACATGGAAAGAGTCTAGGTATTCTAAACCGCTCAAATACCACATATAGCCCGTGTACACACTCGTCACCTCGTGTACACGTCTTCTATATAATACAAATAGCACAATCAACCCAAATCCTAAGGAAAAATTTTCTCACACAAAGTTAGACAAAATACTTACCTTAACTAGGCCAAATCAACCCTCGAAAATAGCTTTTCCCTAAAATTCGCCTCCACACGACTCAAATCTAACAAAAATGACTTAATATCATCAAACAATGCAATGGAAACCAATTATGATAGATAAAATCGTAATCTTTACACATTTCTCAAAAAGTCAACTCCGGGCTTGCCCGGTGAAAATCCGGGTCCAAGGGTAGATTCCAACCACCCATAACCTCACGAGTCCATATATGTATTTTATTTTCAAATTCGAGTCCAAATCGACTCTCAAAACTCAAATCTTCATTTTTCAAAACTTTGACAAAAATTCCTAAATTTCCTCTTTGATTCCCATAAATTTGATGTTAAATCTAAGATACAATCATGGAATATAGATGGAAATTTATTACAATCGCTTTTCCTATATTTGTAGATGAAAATCCCCTCTCCAAATCCCCTCCTACCGAGTCTAGAGGTTCTAAAATGAAAGAAAATGAGATAAAATCCCGACTTTCCAACCTTTTGTTCAATTGAAGATGTCGCAATTGCGAATCCCCGCAATTGCGAACTCTCGCAATTGCGAAGGAAGTCTCGCAATTGTGGCTACTAATAGCCTAAGTGGGAAGTCTCAAATGCGACATTGGCTTCGCATTTGCGAAGCCTGTCCCAATTGCGATCCTACCCTGCCCAGATACTACTTCGCAATTGCAACCCAGGCATCGTAAATGCGTCACATGATACCCCTTGCTAGGGTCGTAAGTATGATGCTGGTGTTCGCTATTGCGACACCTGAGGCATCAGCACACCAACAGTCCAGTTTCAGTTCAAAACCATTCCGAAACACGTTCGAAACTCATCCGAGTCCTCAGGGTTCCAAACCAAACTTTCACACAAGTCTAAAAATATCATATGAACTCGTTGCGCGATCAAAATACAAAAATAATATCTAAAACTACGAATCAGATATCAAAATGCATGAATTTCAAAGAAAGGTTCAAGAACTTCTAGAGTTAATCCTATCAAATCAATTCCAAATGACACCAAATTTTACAGACAAGTTCCAAATAGTATAAAAGACCTATTCAGAGTTTTAAAACAAAATTAAGAACCCGATAGTCAAAAGTCAACCTATGGTCAAACTTGGAAAATCTTTTAAACTTCAAATTGCCAACTTTCAGCAAAACAAGTCAAATCAACCTAGGAACCTACGAATTCAAATTTCCGACAAACGCCTAAGTACAAAATCATGATACAAACCTATTAGAGCAACCAAAATACCGTTCCGGGGTTATTTTCATAAATACCAAACATTGGTCAATATTTTTTGTAACGGCACGATCGGTCATTTTGTGTAATTGCGCCTCATTACCCTTTTTTGATGCTTCACACATGTATGTTTATAATTTTATGACTTACGGGGTTGATTAGTTTCATTCTGGGAAGCTTTCGGGTTGATTCAGACCCTTTGATTCTTGACTTAGAAGCCTAAGTTAGAAATGTTGATCAAACTTTGACTTTTGAGAAAACGACCCTGGAATGGTATTTTGATAGCTATGATAGATTCGTGTCATGATTTCAAACTTGGGCATATGCTCGGAATTGATTCCGGAAATCCATAGGTTGATTTGTGTTGTTTTGACGAAATTCGGCAATTTGAAGTTAAAATATTTGATCGTAAGTTAACTTTTAGCTATTAAGCTCGGAATTTGATTTTATGACTTTGAATAGGCCAGTTATGCTATTTAGAACTTGTCTGTAAAATTTGGTATCATTTGGAATTGATTTGATAGGATTCAGACGTTTAGTTGTATATCTAGAGATACTTGATTTAGATGTTATTTTTGTGTTCGATTCGTAGTTTTAGATGTTATCGCCGTTTAGATGTTATCACCGTTTAGATGTTATTTTAGTGTTCGATTCATAGTTTTAGATGTTATTTTTGTATTTTGATTGTGCGAGAGAGTTCGTATGATATTTTTAGAGTTTTGTGGATGTTTGGTTTGGAGCCCTGAGGGCTCGGATGAGTTTCGAACATGTTTTTAAAGGTTTTGAACCGAAAATGAATTGCTGGTGTTGCTGGTACTCAATTATCGCAATTGTAAGCACCGGCCTCACAATTGCGAAGGTGACAGCGGGGGCTCAGATGTCGCAACTGCAACTTCCCCTTCGAATTTGCGAAGTCAGCAGAATTTTGGCTTGGTTCGCATTTGTGAAGAATTATTCGCTTTTGCGATATGTCCAGCTTCGTAATTGCGATGCCTCTGTCGCAATTGCGATAATCATTAAGGCTATCGGGGTTCTTAACTGCGATCCCTGGTCCGCCATTGCGAGGATTCGCAAATGCGAACCCTATGTCATAAATGTGACAACTGCAGCTGGCACAAACGGCTGGGAGACGGGATTTTTCAACACATTCTCTAATTTTAGAACCCTAGACTCGGTAGGAGGCGATTTGGAGAGGGGAGTTTTATGTACAAACTTTGGGTAAGTGATTCTAATCTATTTCCAATAATATTCCATCAATATATCTTAGATTTTAACATTAAAATCATGTGAATCAAAGTGAAAATTTGTGAAACTTTGTCAAATTTTTGAAAAATAAGAATTTGAGTTTTGAGAGTCAATTTGGACTCGGATTTTAAAACTAATCACACATATGAACTCGTGGGGTCATGGGTATTCGGAATCTACCATTGGATTCGGGTTTTGACCG